TGAGGTAATGAGAGTTTAGGTTGATCCATCTGAAATGGATCAAAGGTCGACTGTCTAATAAAAAGTAACTGTACGGATTGTTCCGACCCTGTTTTTAACGGCGTTCAAGTGTTTTGGGTATTTTGAGACCTAAGTATGGGGACGTTCTTATTTTCTAGAGTGGGGGGTATTTTGGTAGTGGCCTTTAGGCTGTAACAGAGGTTTTATCTCATGTCGCAAGTGAAACGAATTGGCTCCGACCGTTCGAGGTAGAAAAACACAAGAGATAGTCTCCCTGACTCTTGAGCCAATGGTTATAGGGCCTATTTTTCTTTAACCTCATGTGACTTAAGTAGGCGACTGTTACAGTCCTTGTATACCCGATCTCTTTTCAAAAGGAAATTTTTCAATCTGGTATTCAGTGTTCACAGCCTAGTTCTGAAGCCCATGTTTGCCGTTATTCAATTTGCTCCCGTATTGTCTGAATAGATTAATTTCGTCTTGAAAGTTCTAACTAGGGCTGGCTCGAAAGTGCTTTCCTCCTCTTCTAGACCGGCATAATTGTTCGAGTTTTGACTATTCCTTTCATGGGCGTGGTTAATTCCTGCGTCCAATCCTGAGAAAAAAATTTCATCGACGTCTTTGGTGCTGCATTTAGATTGCGGAAAGAGGACTCGTTGGTTGGTCTTTTGCTTTGTGTGTGTGTGTGTTTGGAGCTTTTGACTGATCGATGGACGCCGCACGGCGTCCTATGAGCTGCAGGTCAGGTCAAAAATTAATTGGACAACTGAAAATTACATTGCAATTCATTGGAATGTTAAAAATCAATTAATTGGAACAACCCAAAATTAAATCGCACATAATTGTACAAATTTTTGCTAGCCCGAAGCATCACGCTTGGTTAACAATTTATGACACTCTCTCAGTATTTTTTTGTTGATTTTCCGAAACAACTGCCTTTCGAGGTTTCGCGGTAGTGAAATTTGCCGAAGATCATAATAAGCATATTATGCAGTGCTGAAAATCTTAAAATTGCTGTCTGATGAATTAAAAAATTATATTTTCAGAGAAATGTGAGGGTATTTCTACGAAATTCGTTTGATAAATTTAATTGCAATTAATTGGTAGAGCGCAACAGTTAATTGTAATTGGTCAGGAATGAAAATCCATTAATTGCACAGAAAAATTTCGATTAATTGCAATTAGTTGCAATGACAATTAATTTTGACCTGCCCAGGTGAGCTGTGCAAAGCGGAAGGCTCCCTCCGGATTGGTATGTAGGCAGGTGATATCTTCGTTTTCTTGTATGGTCTTCTTTCTTTCTTGGGCCCAGGCTGTCCATCTTCTCAGGAAGTGCTCCGACGTTTCTTCTTCAACTCCGGTCATCTGAGTATCCAAACCGGTGCTGAGTCTGACGGAAGAAAGATGCTCTGTTTGCCCTCAGTTTGAAGAGCGTGACATCTTCTTGTCTCGAGTGGTTCACTGAACGCTCCAGCGGTCTTCCTCCCGAGGCTCGGCGGTGAGTTGAGGTCTCGGGGGCGTTCTCGTTGTAGTGTTAGAGTTGTCTGTCTTCACGCTGGGTACCAGGTACTCGTAGACGTTTTCTCCCTCTGGGATCTGGTCGAATTGTCTTTGGTCGTGTTCGCCGACCAGTTCGCTGATGACTTTACGATGTCTGCGTCCACTAGAACCACGCCGGAAACAGCCGACCTGCTCCGGCCAGCCCTACAAGAAGTGGAGTCGTGGGCGAGCGACTACGAGGTCCTGCTCTCGATTGATAAGACTTCCGCCCTCATCGTCTACTTGGACCCGAGAGAGACAGCGGGAAAAGCCGATCCAGACCTTTCCCTGCTCGGCGACCCCTGTTGGCACCACCAAAGGAATGGAAATCCGGGGGGTCACTCTGGACCCGCAACTGTCTTTTGCGCCCACGCGGCAGAGATGGCAACAAAGATAAAAGCGCGAGTCCAGTTACTGCAAGCCCCCTCGGGTAAAGACTGGGGCCTCATCTCGGAAGACCTTGCCCAGCTTTACTGTGCCAATGCCAAACCCGGTGGCCTCTACAACATCGACATCTGGGGACCGTTCCTGACAAGGTCGAACCTCCAACCCATCGAGGATGGCAACAACCGGGCAAGCCGAGTCATCGCGGGTACCCCGACAGGCACTCCGTCCTCGGCGACTTTGACAGACGCGCGCCTCGGGCCAATTTACCAGGAGATAGAAGATCGTGCCACGCTGTTATGGGACAGGTACAGAAGATATCCGGAAGAACACCACCTGCATGACCTGACAAGACCAGGCCCCAGACCAAGACTCAGATCAAGAGGAGAACAGTCCTACCGCCAAGACTGGCGCACGATGGCCAGAAGTCTTCTGCTTTACATCTGGATCTTATGTTGTCTTTGCCGACAAATTTGATTGCTGATGCGAGAGAGAGAGAGAGAGAGAGAGAGAGAGAGAGAGAGAGAGAGAGAGAGGAAGGCTTAATTTACCCCGTGGGGAGTTTACAATCACAAATAATGAAATGCAAACATAAAACGAAAAAAAAAAATATAAATATATAAAATAAACTATGACCGGCAGAAGGTACAGCAGCACTTTCCATACCAAGTACACGGAATGTTTTCTTCGAATGTTTGGCGTAGCTTCGTATCATAGAACTTCATAACTTCACGCTTGTACCGGGGGAATGATAGACGGACATCAAGCTTCATGAAATTCAATAGTCTAGGAATACGGTCAAAATAAAAGGACTGTGTCTTCTCGTATTTTCGCTTCTTTAATTTGAAAGAGTATATATCAACACTCCGTAATGATACAGATGGGTCATTTATATCAACAAAATCGAAGGGGTTTAAATCGTACTTGTCCTGAAACAGTTTATGGAAAAACAGAAGATTTGAGATTTCAATATGATATGGCAGAGGATAGATTCCTAACTTTATCAGTGACGTTTTATAATCACCTGACAGACCGATCCATCTCACACATCTTCTGTTGAAAGCTTCGAGCTTGGATAAGTCGGTCTTGTTAGGTATCCAGATAGAAGAACCATAAGTAAGCACAGATAGAATACATGCTTTGTAGAGCCGAACCTTCGTTTGTCTCGGAGTACTGCTCGGAACATTTCGCTTTAACATAAAGTACACTTTGTTGCACTTGAATAACTTTTCAGAAACATGGTGCGACCACGATAAATCAGAACTGAAAATGATCCCAAGATCTTTGACGTCTAAAGATTCATCGATTTTGTGATCACCAATATAGAGATCTGGGTTTTCAGAGCTGTGGTTAAAAAACTTCAGGACTTTACATTTGTCAGGATGTAAATCGAGAGAATTTTCGCCACACCAATTGATAACAGCATCTAGATCGCGTTGAAGTACGGGAACAGAGGTACTGCAGCATTTCAGATCATCAGCAAAGAGGGATGGCTTGGATAAGAGATAATCAGGAAGATCGTTCACAAATAACAAGAACAATAACGGCCCCAGAATACTACCTTGCGGGACACCACTCATAATGCTCACAAAATCAGAGAGCACACCATTGATTCGCACACGTTGAAAGCGTCCAGAAAGATAACTTTTAAGTAATTGGAGAAAGCTAACATCCAAACCGAAATCCGCAAGTTTTTTGAGCAATTTATGGTGAGGAACCGAGTCAAACGCCTTTTTGATATCCACATAAAAAACAAAAGACGAAATACCAAGTTCGTGATTCCTATAAAGCTCATCACAGAAGTTTAACAGTTGCGTGACAGTTGAACGCCTTGACATAAAGCCGGATTGGTATTTCGTAATTTTCGGCCTAATATGCGTCTAAATCAGTCGTAATTTGTTCCATCCACTCGAGTCTCGTGAATCCACTACCGTATACCCCCAGATCGTTTGCACGTCGGGCAAGATATGATCATTCTGCCACTGAGCCTCGTTATTTTCTGTTATTTTCCAATCCTTGTCATTGTTGATTTCGCATGAGCCCTTCAACTCCCCGCCTAACCATCCATTTTTTGTGTGTCAGTATTAGTGTCTTAGCTATGCTGTTTTAAAAGCCAGATCTATTGATTTTCTCTTTCACTTGCGCTTTTTTCCTTGACAGCAGATTCTACTACCAAGCAATCCGGTCCCTTTATTTTTTTAGGGTATGCAAAAGTCTTTGAATGATGGCTTTAGGTTCTTTTAGTGAGCTGCCCTGCCCGTTCAGTGCTCACGCCATAAAATATCCTTTGTTGATGTACTTCTGTTATCTCAGTGGTCTTTTCCACTTCTCCAGTGACTTCTTTGTACCCTTAAACGGAATCAGATTATGGAAGATTTAAAAATTTTTCCCGCGATACTTTGTTATTTTTATTTAAAAATTTTCCCGCGATTTTGTTATTTTCGTCTTTCTTTTTATTTGCTAGCTTGCATTACTGCGCTTGCGTTAAATCGCTAATGAATCATGACCGATACATCGCAAGCGCAGTAATGCAAACTACTAAATAAAAAATGAGGCGAAAATAATAAAATGAAAAAAAAGAAGAAAAATTGAAAATAAGTATAGAACCGTAGAAACACACAACCACTGGTATTGTAGAATGCCTTCCCCAAGCATGTATTAGTTCTGAACAATCTTATCTATCTGTGTGAAATATGCTTTTCTTAGAAACGCACAAATAAAATTATTTTTTTTTTTACATTTTATATGCGGGATTGAATTTGTATGCTGTTAATTGTACAAATTTATGTTTTAGTTCAATTTTTTTTTATTAAGATAGCCCAACAGGGTTTTCAAAATTCATTTCGGCAGAGCGCACCTATAACTATGGTTTTTTTGGCAGAGCGCACTTATAAATACTTGTAAAAACACAAGTAGGGTTTTCAAAATTCATTTCGGCAGAGCGCACCTATAACTATGGTTTTTTAGGCAAAGCGCACTTATAAATACTTGTAAAAAACACAATTTTCGGCAGAGCGCACCCTATAAGTAAGGTAATTTCCAACAGTCTGTTGGCTATGTTTTTCTGTTCCAGATAGATAATGACACATGTAGAATGTACACACTCTAATGATTCTTCTTTCTCAAATCTTTCATTCATTAATCGACAAGAAAACAAACAGTCGGACGATTCGCTGGGAGAGGACGATTTGCCTTCAAAGAATGCGCCTTTGTTAGACTCTGTAGAATCTAATTTAGATATTGCCCTAACAGATGACGAAATTCATTCAGACCGAAATTTCTATCGGCGAGAAAGCAGAAATGACGATTCTTCCGAAGAATTTTTCTCCCCTGATATGAGACCTATTGGAGGCACCGATATGACTGTAGGCCATGTGCGCATATTAGATCCCAATGAGCAGATCGGGAATGCCTCCGTCTTTTCAGCTCTTACTTCCAATGAAGCATCTTTAATTGACGACGCTAATGTAGATGTGGATATTGGCAAGTATTTTTCATCAAATAACTGCTGAGTTTGAGCCAATTTTCTTTTCAATAAAATGCATTTTAGAAGCTGTTTCTGATGATAATTTTACTGTGGATGAGAGGATGTTCCATAAAACGGCAGTCAAAGATTCCGCCAAAGTAAGCAAATTTGAATAATTCGTACATGAGTTGTAAGTTTTAATTGCAATTTTTATTATTGTTTGTTTATTTTTTAGTTAATCGAACAATTGAGAATCGATAACTTCAATTTGAAATTGAGAATTTATTATTTCGAACAAGATTCGTCGCTCACAGATAAAGATCTTCGCATTCAAGTGAGTTGTACTTTCGTCTGCATTTTGATTGTTTTACTCTTCCGCTTCAATATGTACATGAATGGTTTGCAGCAAGCGGGAAACGAGGCACTTGACTATGTACTCGGCTCGAGTAGTGCTTCCAGAAAGGTTTAATGGTTGAATGTGTTTTTTAAATGTTATCTGTTATTTAACTATAGAGGGATCCTAAAAAGCATTCCCAATAAAATTTATAAGTAATAGTTGTTTCTGATCTGATATCTGTTTCTTTAGTAGGTTGCAATAATGTTTTATCTTCTGTATAGTTACAGTAGTTATGTTTTTGTAACTAGTGAAATTGTCTTTAATCAAAAACATTGTATTAAAATTTTTAGAATGTCAACCTGCACTTGGAGAGGGACCAAATTCGAGAAAAGCTAACGGAGAAAGAGCGACTGCTAGATGATGCAAAGTAAATTTCAATTGTTGAAATATCTTTATTTTTATCGTATGCTGAAAGTTATTTTTTTGTAGAAAAGTTATCGGCACATTCTCTAAAGATGATTCTATGCTGAGAGATGAAAAAGCTTCAAATGACCGCGAGATGTCCAAGTTGAAGCAGGTCAGCATATTTGTTAAGCAGAACAGCTAAAGGCAACCTAATTCGAGTTTTTTAATAAAACTGAAACGTCGTTTTTAGAACTACGAGTTTTCGATTTCCAATTTGAAACGAGAGTTAGGCAGAAAAGATGATGAAATTGACAAGCTTCGAAACAAATTTGTCTCCAATTCTGTACATAGTCCTATCGAGTCTCGGACACCACCGTCTTCATTGTCTCGCAGCGGAGAAAAACTGTGCTACAAGTGCAATAGCAGAGCAACATTTACATCACCAGATAGAAGACTTAACATCGAAGCCTTGGAGTCGAAACTGGACAAAGCAACCAAGGAGCTGGAAAGCAAATCGAAAGAACTTGAAATGAAAACTAGAGTGAGTATCAAAAGCCAAAATGTCAAATTTTTTGCCTGATTTTTTATTGTTTTCCTTAGAATCTAGAATTCATTTTTCCTGAAGTCCATCTATTTATGTTTTTCATTCAAGTTTTTGCGATGTTATAGAAAATAAAAATTAACCAGGACGCTTGTACTGTCTTTTGGACGAAAAAGCGAGCACTTGATGTTGTTGCTAGATAATGTCAGCGTATGAAGAGAAGCTAGCTCGCATTGAGGCCGAGCACATGTCGCACAGTGACACAGAGGCGGCTGCGAGAGTGTCAATATCAGCCGAATCCCAACTGAGGACAGTGACCGAGGAGAGAGACCAGCTGAAGAGAAGTGTGAGGAGTAAAGAGAGGGACTTAGCCAGTGCAATGGACCAGGTGCAGCAGTTGCATAAACAGATGGCAGACAAGCACGAACAGGTGAATAAGTTTTACGAAGAAATTGCGAGTCGGAGTTTGTGACATTGACGCTGTAACGACATTATTTTGGCAGATTTATTCAAATATGTATGGCCAATTTCGTCATAAAATGATCTTAAAACTATTACGCAATCAGTTTAAATTTCTGCAACCGAGCTCTCTCGGGTATGAACTGAAGCTGAGGGCAAATGCAATGCACGGTTGAAGTCTACGCTATTTAACAACCATTTAGTTGCAGCTCATATCGTCTAATGACTGACTTCTGATCTTCGCTCTTTTTACGCTCGCAATTTTCGCTCTGCAATAGCAAAAAGCAAATGGTGCGCAAACGCGAATGACCTTCAGTTTTAAAGGTGGATTAGAAATTGGAAATTTTTCGTCGAAATCCACAGTTGAAGCAATTTTGAGGATCTTTAGAATTTAATTTATTCAAAAAGCATAAACTTGGTGAATGATTGTACGCTTCATGATTAATGAATTACTATCACTTTGCTAGTAAACTAATGCTTGAACGCTGGAGTTCCTAAGTTTTCTCGACATTCAATTGATTGTTTGCTTCTTCAGGTGCAGCAACTGCAGAGTGATCTTCGTCGCAGCCAGACTCAAATGGAGGAGAAAGAGAATGTAGTTGAGAGTGGAAGGGTGAAACTAGATAGAGCTCTGAGGGACAAGGCAGACTTGGAGGAGAAGATAGTGGGTCTGGAGAGTGCGATGAAGGACGGTGTCAACCACTCGGTGAGTGAGTGAAGGTAGCGCGACAACTCGCAACATAAGACAACTCGCAACCTATAATGAAAGCGACAAATCGCAAAGTATTTCAGATTTGACAAAGTAGTGGGAAATAACAAGCGAGTTTTTCTTTTTGTTTTCTTTTATTTCAGACGGCCCGAATTGTATCTAAAATGATCGAATATCACCTCTTTGAAAAGAGTAATTTTGGCAATCTGGGAGCAATCTCTAATTTTGCAACTTCATTTTCAGTTCATATTGAACAAACGTACTGATGATTGTCATCGAAACTGCTTAAGTTTACCCCATTTCACTGTTACAGAAATCGGTATTGACGGATTTTGGGGCAGAAATGGGAATTATTGTCAGTTCGTTAGTCTTATGAATAATTTATGATTTCAGGTTGTTTATCAAAAGTGGAAGGTTAATTCATATCAATGTTTTCCATTTATACATAATCAACTATTTTGTTTTTATCCTAATTAATTTGACTGTTCACCATTTAGACTAGTATTAACCTCAACTCAAGTTTTGTGCTGGCAGGCAATGATAAATTAATTCACCTAATAAAATGGATATTTTAATCCTCTAGGACTGCTTGTATAACGTTTTAAAGAGTAGAATTTTAATTTTTAAAACAATCATCGTCAGTGCATTGAACTGATTTTCTTTGCTTTTATCAGATTTTTTTTTTGAAAAAAGTCTCTGGTTTAGGAAGAAGTGCGTGAGCTGCAAAGCCAACTGGACGAGTTAAATCTGAATATGAAATGCAAATCAGTCGAGCTGGAAAACTGCAGGAAAGAAAAAGAAAAACTAGAACTTCAGCTAGAAACCAGCGAAGCGAAACTCAGAGAAAATAACTATGAGCGGAAAAAGGTTGGTAAGAATTTTGGATCGAATTCTGATGCCAAATTGAATAAATCACAGCAAAAATATTTGTTTAATTCAAGAAATTTCGCGTTGAATATGACTTAACAATTCTAATTTTGTTGAAAGGTGGCAGAGGAATTGGCTACGCTGCAGAAAAACGTGGAAGACGCGGATAAAAAATCCTCGGAACAAAAATACAGCATAAACTCGCTTTTGAAGGAAAACTCGAAAGCGGCTATGGAAAAAGAGGATTTGAAAGAACAAATACAAGATTTGAAAAATGACTTGGAACGGTCGTCTCGAAGCGTGAACGAATTGGAGGCCAAAAATCGACAATTGATGCAGGAAAAAGGATCGCAGGGGGAAAATTTGGATAAAATTAAGAAAGAAGTTAAAAACATGCAGACAAAATTGCAACAACTCGAAGTCCAAAACGAGCAAAAAGATTCACAATTAAAAGATGTAGAGAAAAAATTGAAAGATCTTAAGGAAAAATTAAGTGAGGAAGAAGATTTGAACAGTTCTCTCAGAAGCGAAAACAGCAAACTGAAAAGTACGGAATCGGAAAAAGAACAATTTTTGGATAAAATTTATGGTCTTGAGAAAGATTTGAACCGAACGAACGATATGTTGAATGAAAGAGAAAAAGATGTTGAAGATTTGAAATCGGCTAAAGAATCTTTGGGAAGGAGTCTGAACAAGCTGGAAACCGAAAATAGTGTTTTGAAGTTAGAGTTAGACAAAAGATCCGAAGAAATCAAATGTTTCAAAGAACGTGTCGACGATTACCAAGACAAATTGGCGCAACTAGATTCAGAAGTAAAAGCGAAAAAGGATTTGTTGATGCAAGCAAATAAAGATTTGGGCAACAAGGAGCACGTTATAAATTCGTCACTGACTGAACTGTCTTGTCTAAGAACTCAAGTTGACTCTTTGAAATCGCAGCTTTTAAGCGCAAACAGACGAATCGAAGAGTTGGAAAATTCAAAATTAGAGTTCGGAAGTTTGATCGAAGAAAAAGAAAAGGAACTGAAAGATGTTAAGCTTAAAAGTCAACAAGATTCGGACAATGTTGATAAAAGGCTGGAAGAAAATAACAGAGAACTTCAGTTCGCTTACCAGAAGGCTGCGCAACTGGAAAAGAGCGAAAAGGAAAATAGAGCAAACGTGGAACGGATGAAGTTTGATATGGAGGACAGAGAAAAATCCCTGAGACAAGAAAACGGTCAAATTGAGAAACAGTTAAAAAGTGTAAAAGATGATAATAGTAAGCTGAGAAAAGAGGTAGAAAACCTTATTTCCTCGAATTCGTCTAAGGCCGATATTATCGATGGTCTCAAAAGTAAACAGCAAGACATAGAAAAGGAATTAGCAAAGAATTCCGATCATATGGCCAACGAAATAAAAGGTCTAGATTCGACCAACGATAATTTGAAACGCCAGCTGAAAGCGTTAGAAAATAGCATGTTTTCTAAGGAAAACGAAATCGCAAACCTCTTAGGTAAAATAAACGAGCAGGGAGAGATAATCGATCATTTAGAAAAAGTTAAATCAGAACTAGAAAGTGAGAATTCAAAACTGAAATCGGGAATGAAGGAACTCGAAAACGAAAAGTCATCGCATGTTGGGTACATCAAAGAACTGGAATCAGATATAATGAAAATCAAAGATACGATCTCTCAACATGGCTATGGTAAATTAGAACTTGAACATGACAACAAAAAACTGAGATCACTTCTTAAAGATGTCGAAGATGAGAACTCGGAGTTAAAGAGCAAGATCGATGAACTGAGATCAGAATTAGAGGAAAGCAAAATATTAATTGATAAAGAGAAGAAAAATGGCATTAAACCCCAGAGCTCCAATGATTTGCAGCGACCAGCATTTAGACGAGAAAAAACTCTTTACCCTATGAGTTCAGGGGAAAAATTGGCAAATACTTCATTGTTTGATAATTATCACACGACTAGCGACGAGTTGAAAAAACTTCTCGTTGAATCGAACAACGATTTAGAATTGTCAAGACAAAAGGTGAATGACCTAGAAGCAGAAGTGTCTAGACTAAAGCAACAGATTCTGAAAAGCGAGAATATTTTTGATGACATGCAAAGCAAACTTGAAGTTGAAAAGAAACGTAACATTGATTTGAAGTCGTCAATTGAAGCGGATTCGGCTAAACAAGCAAGCAAAAATAATAGTTCTGTTATGTTTGAAGAGTTTTCTCAAACCGATGGTGGCGAGATTAACGATTACTCTCAACTTTACCAGCATTTGTCACGATTAGCAGCTGTATCAAGTGGTGAAAACCAATATGGAACCGAAGCTTCTCTGGCAGATATTTTGGCACTAGTTGAGAAAATAACCCAGAAGTTGCAAAAGTATAAATCTGAGAATAAAGCAAAAGAGAAGCAAGTCAGCAGTCTGAAGGCGAAAATAGAGGAATTGGTTCGGTTAAATGATTCTTCATGCAACCTGAGCGAAACAGCGTCAACTGTTTCCGGATTTGATGTGCAATATAGTAACAAGCAGTTCGCTAATGAATATCAAGCTAAACATAAACAGCTATACACTGAAGACCAAGTTGACGGTAATGCCTGTCCTGTTTGTGGCAGGTCGGATTCGAAGAAAGATCAAGTCGAGGGTCCTTCAAAAAAGAAATCTGAGGAAGAAGAAGAGTTTCGGAAAAAGAATCTGAAAAAAACTGAGACGTTTAGCTCCAAAAAGAACGAAAAAGAAAAAGAAAGCATCTCAGATGAGTATTTAAAGAGAATGAAACAAGAGTTGCGTTCGAAGAACGAAGAATTGGCATCAGTTAAACTGCAGTTTGAGCAGTATAAAATCAGTGCGACCCAAAAGAGGGCAGATCTGTCCGAGACAGTTGCCCAGTTGAACTTCACAGTTGGGAATCTGCAGAGGCAGATGGAAAGCATGCAGTCGCAGGCAGTCGAGCAGACACGAAATGACGACTTGGATCAGTGGAATAAAGAGGAAAAGATGAACGGGAGAAGTGAGGAACGGAAGGAAAAACAGTCTGAGAAGGACTATAAAAAGGTACGAAAATTGAAGTATAAAAAAATTCTTGTGTTTGAAATGCTCTTGCACTTGAAAGAAAAAGTGTCTTGTAAGCGGCAACTAGATTTCCCATAAACAGCTTTTTGTACAAGAAATTAACTTGCTTTATTTAAAAATGCTAACACTTGCAGGGTCCTTCCCACTTGCCCTGTAGGTAAGGCGGTTGCTTTTGCAGCTTCAAGACTGGGGTTTGAGTCCCAGTCTTGTTTTTTTTTCAGTATGTACGAAATTGAAAAATTTCCGGTAAAAATTGAATTGTCTGGCTTTCGTTTGTCTGCTTAAATTTTTTCGTCTTAGGTGCCGCATCTCGGATTTTTCGATTGCTGCAAGCAAGTATCATGGAAGTTAAAAAAAGTGATGATCATTGTAATTTGAGGGGGGGGGGGGGGGGGGGGCTGGAATTTTTTAAAAAATTTTTATGAAGTCAATTTTTTTCGACTCAACTGTGTCGGCTTTAATTTGGCTTCGTAATTTTTGTTTAGTTGCTAATTTTAAATTCAAATGTGTTGCTTGGCAAGTTAACTAGATTTGCTGTTCGATCAAAATAGGTTTTAAGAAAATGTATAGGCCTCCAAAAATACTTCACTGATTCAAAAAAATGGTGCCAATAGAAAGGTTGTCTACTCTTCTGTGTGCCTATTTAATCTCACAGTCTCTTTTTACTTAACCAAACTGTCTTCAGTCTTCCAAAAAGTCTGTGGGGGGGAATATTTGGCCCACATTTTTGGATTTTTTTTTTGTTCTGGGTTCAATCGAAATAACGGATTATTCCTGAATATAGCGCCGCATCTCGGGTTTTTCTATTGCTGCAAGCAAGTATCATGGAAGTTAAAAGTGATGATCATTGTAATTTCAGGGGGGGGGCTGGAATTTTTAAAAAAGTTTTTATGAAGTCAATTTTTTTTTCGACTCAACTGTGTCGGCTTTAATTTGGCTTCGTAATTTTTGTTTAGTTGCTAATTTAAAATTCAAATGTGTTGCTTGGCAAGTTAAAGTAGATTTGCCGTTCGATCAAAATAGGTTTTAAGAAAATGCATAGGTCTCCAAAAATACTTCACTGATTCAAAAAAAAATGGTGTCAATAGAAAGGTTGTCTTTTGTTCTGTGTGCCTATTTAATCCCATAGTCACTTTTTACTTAACCACACTGTCTTCAGTCTTCAAAAAAAGTCGGTGGGGGAATAATTGGCCCATTAAATGGATAGAACGGGTTGTCAGAAGCTCTTCTGAACAAACGGATATGCTCAAACTCTTCTACACAAAAAGTTACGGCCCTCGGATTAGTCGAATATTCGATTTTTTGATCTTCATTCTTTTTGACTTTTCTCTAAAACCACCATCCAAAATCTGAGATTTTGGGCTCAATCGAAATAACGGATTTTTCCTGAATATTCGACTCTCACCCATTTACACGAAAGTTATGGGCCTCGTAAATGTCAATATTTGTTTTTTTTGGCGTTTTTTGAAACTACTCTCCCAAATTTTCTGCGTTCAATTCAAGTAAAAATTTATCCGAATTTCTTCTGCATTAGCGGCTCGCCAATTTTTTTTACACAAAAAGCTATGATTCTCGTTAAAGTCAATTTTTTTATTTGTCCGTTTTTTCCAAACATTTTGACTTTTCTCCATAACTACCCTCACAAATCTGAGATTTTGTTTTCAAGCGAAAGGAATTGCTGTTGGAAGCTCTCATGTATAAGCGAATGAATTCATGTTTTTTCAGACAAAATGTAATCACTCTCGGAAAAGTCAATTTTTGATTTTTGGGACGTGTTTCGAAACTTTTTTGACCTCTCTCGAAAACAACCATCCCAAATCTGAAATTTCAGGTTCAATGGAGAAAACAGGCTGTGCGAAGTTACCCTGAATAATCGGCTACACTCAATTTTCTTAACAAGAAGTTATTTCTCTTCGATTTTTTGAGCGTTTTTTTTTCACGCTTTTTGACTTCTCTCAAAAACTACCCTCTGAGATTTGCGTTCCATGGAGAGAACGGGTAGAGGGAGTTTCCCCTGTCCTATTGGTATGAGGTCTTTGGTAAGATTCCAATTTCTCTTACGTTTTCTCCCCACTCACTTATTTCAGTTTTGGGCGAAATCAGTTTTTAGGGGTCGATAAACGTAATTCAGACTCTTATATAGCTCGCGATGATTTTTTATCGTTTTTTTTTTTGAAAGAAAATCTAAAATTTGTTCAGTCTTTAAAATTACTTTTTCGAGGTTTGACTTTTGAATCATTGACTCTTTTGCAATTTTCTGTTGCTATGTTTTGTAATTACTCATTTCATCCTGCATTAATATTTACACAAGCAATGCTTGTGTTATAGTATGAACTATCTTTTTTTCCCAACCTAAGTTGCAAATATTGTTGCAACACAAATATTGTTGCTATAAAATGAGTTCATTTTGAAATTGTTCATTTTGATCAATAACCAGCTATTAAGTACAGCCAATGCTGTACAGCCAGCAAATTTTAACGCTGACTATTATTGTTCCGACTTTCGTAAAGTTATGGGAGTTTAAAAATTGCCATTTTGGCCAATTTGGGACAATTAACGCGGAGATTTAATCCGTCATAGTAATCGTTCCAAATTGGTTGATGGAAGCTTATTTGACATAATTTATTTTTTAATAGGAGCTAAATATATCACTTTGTACTTAATATGGCGTGGGGGGATGATTTTCACAAAACAAATCTCAAATAAAAAAAATTCATTTTATTTTCATTACATTTGTTTTTTTCAGGTTATTACTGCTCCATAGACAGCTCTATAAATTGAGGCATCTTTTTTGGTAGATTTCTTTTTTTTTTCAAATTGACTGGTACTGCTAATGCTTCATAATTGGCATGCGTCACTTAAAAAATTTTGAAGACTCAAAATTTTACTCATTCAGTTTTTCCCAGTAACGTTATCAGTCATATTTTTGCTTGTGTATGTTAAGTGCAACTTCGCCTCTGTGTAAAAATTCCAAAATTACCAAAAAAAACTACTTGCAGCTTAAGCTGGCCTCTAGTTATCTTTTATCGAGACAACGTAATTTTGTTTCACCTTTTTTCAATATTTTATCTTTTTTTCCGACGTCCTATTTATATGTTTGTGTTGTGTCGCGAGTAGTGCAAAGCTCCGCTTCGCTTGAGTTTGAAATTTTTGTTTTGATGTTGTAATGTAAACGGAAAATCTGCCGTTAATAGCACGAAAAAAATATATCCCAAATAAATCGTAACCGAAATAGGTTGATAATAATTTAACATGCGTTTTTAGATAGTGGAAGATCTGGAAAAAATGTTAAAGAAGCAAGAAGTTGATGGGAAGAAGAAAGACGCTGTTATACAGGTTGGAGAATAAATACTTCGGAGTTTTTTTAAACCGGATAATCTCTAGTTTTTAACATTGAGATGACTGACACCTGCCTCGTGAATAAGATAAAAGTGTCATTTAATGTATGATGTTTTGAAGCTGGAGCCGTTTTAAAAATCGGCAAACCACCGGAAAGAGTTTGCTGACAAAAGATGTCTGCTTTTAATATGACGAGCCAAACTAAAGATAAGCAATGCCACAAAATATTCCTAAAATTATGTTTTTTTTTTGACATCCAAATTTCATGTTCATTTAAAAAAATGTTTTTTGCTTTTTTCCAGATTTTTTGAACCGTTTTCTAACGTTTACCGTCGGATACTTGGAGTATTGCAACTGGATAATAGGAGTTTATTTAATTGTACAAAGGCAGCGTAGTGTCATATTATGGACAACTAGACCTAAGTCGTAAATAAAGTTGCTCATTTGCTTGGTGGCACTTTTGCGATGAAAACATCAAATCTGGATTAATTTTGCTGCATAGCATTATAATTTTAATTGGATAGTTTTTAAGGTTGTAATGCAGAGTTTTATACGTTAAGGTTGTATAGCATATTTTTATTAGTTTTGCCTTGCTTTTTTTCACTTATTGACTTTTCTTGAGCTACCTTTTGACATTTCCTCGATTATGTTTGTGAAGTCGCAGCTTCGCCTCTGTGTAGAAGTTTTACTCACATAATTGCCATTTTTTCAGGAATGTAAATGAACCTTGATTACGCTTGCGATTAGCAAGCGCTATCAAGACAGAATATAGACGACTTTTTGGGGTTAATAACTTTATGAACAGAATCACTGAATTATTTGCTCGGTTTACTTTAATAGTATATCGAGATCGAGGTACCAATTTTGCCTGTTCAGTTTGGAGTTGACGACCATGCTTGATTTCGATTTAGCCAGGAGCAGATTTTTTCTAACTTATCTTTTTTTGTAGAAATTTAATTATCGTATTATTAATTGTCCGCTTATTTTTTGTCGGCTTACTTCCAAATCTTATTTTCCTCTGGCTATTTTCCTTTGATTGAAGCAAGTTTTGTAGTTAAAGACGTTCTAATTTGTTCCTTAAACTATTGATTTTGAATAATTTCCTAGCGGAGTAAAAACTTTGCCTATTGGTCTAGTTGTTACATTAGCGTCAGCTTAGTGTATTGTTAAGAACCTTCTTTTTTCTAACCTAACTCGCAAATAAAAATGTTCATTAAAAGTGTTCACTTATTTGGGAATTTCACTGCTGTAGCATTGGAAATTGCATAGCATCTGTTCTCTGCTTTATTTGAGATGATTGTTTGGCTATGTACTATTAAGCTTCCGTGGCTGAGTGGATAGGGTGTGAGACTCTTAATCTTTAAGTCGATGCTCGAATCTCAGAGGTAGCCGAATTGTTTGCTAATTTGAGGCTTATTTCTACTTTTTTTCTTATTACACTTTATAGAGCTGCTTTTTTTGTCGTGTTCTCGCTAGTGTTTGCGAAGCGGAGCTTCGCCTCTGTGTCTCCAGTTGGGTTAATTCTATCTAAAATGCCAATCTTAAATTGTTCTTGAAATGTAAATGTATGGCTTTAAGGCCATATATTTTTGTCTTCGAAATTGGAAATTTTCAGGAAGTAAGTCTTTTTTTTGCGTTCATAGACTATTTTACGAATGTCTGTCTGCTATGATTTCTGTTTTGTTACGTTCATTGACTGTTTTCCAACTGCCTGTTAGCTTCTTCTAACAATTTTTTATCATGGTTTTGGTTTCATTGTTTTCATCTTTCCACCCGTTGTTGGTTATATTCATTTTTTTTTTTACAAAAAAAGCAATTTCAACTATTTTTTCCGGCTGTTATTTTTGTCTCATTTTCATTTCGCTAGCTTGCAATGCTACTCATGCGTTTTTTCGCAAGTGATACGAAGCTCCTCTTTGTCTCTTTATAATTGCGAATTTTTGGTTTAAAAGCTTTGCTCACATCCGCTGCCCATAATGCGTTTCTTTTAATGTTAATGGTCGATTTGAGCGTTTATTTTTTTAAGGTCTATTTTTCAGGTCTATTTGAAACTTGTGGTTGAAATGTGCTCATACTCGGTGTAAAGTTATGCTGGCTTGACTTTTAAATTCTATTTAATTACTTTTACAAATTCAGTTACCGAAAGAAAGGTGAATCGTTTTCTCCAGTATCAAAAGGGAAATGGAGCGCAGATTTTATGTGACTTCCAGATTAAATGGATTAACAAATTTATTGATCCAGTTTTTTTTAAAAGCAGGCTAGTGTTATCAAAAAAAAATAATAATAAAATGTTTTCAAAATTCAAAGAGGTGATCAATTTTTTTGGAACTCGATCGTTGAAAAATTGATTCGAAATGGCTACATTTGTCTATTTTTGTCAATTGTTTTTTTTTTACGCTTGTAAATACCACTTCTTTTTCTGAACAGATGTTAATATTTTAGTCTCTGGAGGAGGGATGCAAGGATATGGAGACCACTTTCACCTCCACAGTGACTTCTCTGCAGGATCTTCTGCAGACAAAGGACAAGGCAGTGCAGGGACTGTGTGACCAGATGACACGCCTCAAAGACCAGGTATGTTTCCTAGAAGTGAGGAGGTGCAGATTTTGATGGATCTGAATTTTTTTTTGAAGAAAAAGAAGCAAAAAGGATTGCTGGTTGCTGTGCAAGAATCGCAGAATGTTCCGACCAAATTGATTTGAGAAAAAAGTCAAAAACGAACAAAATATTAAAGGCGAAAAAATATATTTTGCTATTTTTTGTTTATATTTGCTGTTATTAAGTGTCAGTTAATGTAGAGAAGACACTTTTATGGGTCATGATACCTTTTTGAGGAAAAGTTCCTAAAACTAGGTTCACGCTCAAGTTCCATTTTTCGGGGTTTGACTTTTGATTTTTTAAATTTCAGTTGAGTTCCTTTCTTTGAAGGAAGACAAACTCCACTATCGAACAATAAAATGTAAAGGTCAAGGAAATTGTGGTGGATTTCTGCATTTTAACTTCAAGTTCCCCAGGGGAATAAATAATTACTATTGATCCAGTTTTCTCAAATTGGGTTAATTTTATCAAAAAAGTGTCAATCAATGATTGTTCTTGAAATTCAAAGAGCTTTAAGGGCATAAATGGTTTTCTTCGAAGTTCGAAAGTTGAACTTTTTTGGTTTCTTGAGTTCAGTGGCACTTTTCCAAATTTCGGTCGGCTTTTTTTTCTGGAAAATGCCATTGAACTATGTGAAAACGAGCGGTAACTATAGTTAAATGTTTAGATATAGCGGTAACATTCTAGTTTAATTAAACTGGGAGGTCAGATGGGCTGTGATCTTATGCTACAATTTTCCTTGAGTTAGTCAAAATTAGCTGGAAAAAATACTATAACTGACAGTAATCCACAGATTTGGAACAATGGTGTCCTTCGAGAGTGTTTATAACAAAGATTTACTAAAGAAATTAATTAATGTAAGTAAAGCATCATTTTCTGCTCGACCATTTTGCTTTGCATGGGATATGCAGAAGAATTTGTTAATAAAGTTATATATTGTGTCAATCGAATATCGGTAGTTGAGATATGGCTGTGTAATGCCTCCATATTTTTTGCTGGTTGTCTTTTGGTGCGAGTCTTCAAAGCATATCAATTTAACGTCATTACCCTGGTGATCAGCGAAGTGTTGCTACCGGGTGCAAGATTTTTTTCTGGTAAACAACCTTGTTCACAGAGGTCATTTTATTAGGTATGGTAAATTTCTTGCTCTATGGTTGATGTGCTCAATTTCTTGAAAATTTCATCATCAAATTTATCAGCTTTTGAGTATTAATTGATGAATTTTGTTTCAAGCACTAATCACTTTTTCAAATAATTTTCTTGAAAAATGTCGTTTTTTTTTCGGTTTTCTGGTATTCCTTCTAGTTTCCGTCATTTCGTTATCCATTTTTTAAATGCTATTTAAATTATCTGGCACAGTTTTCATATGCCTTTTCTTGTAATTCATTGATTTTATTTTAATTTATACAGTTAAAAGTTTTGAAATTTTTGTAGATGTAGTTTTCGATTTTTTTGCTAGTAATTTTTCTACTAATAAGGCTTGCGATTATTTAAAATTCTAATTTAAAATTCCATTTTCGGCTTTTTGTTTATCTGCATATGTTCTGTCGGCTTAGTTGGCGCATCAATGATTATTTTTTTTAGCTGTTAGCATTTTTCATAGTAGCAAGTTTTTTTGATTAATTTCTGTAATTTTATTTATTTTATTTATTTATTTAAATATTCATCATGAGTAATCAAACTATCATAACACAATATGCAAAAATTCAAAGATAACTCATGATAGGACAACCAGAAAGCCAACGAGAGGCTTGTTGAAGGTTGCCCCGTAAAGGAATCACATCATATGACATCAGATCAAAAGGTTCAATAATTAATTTAGGTCAAGAGGCAAATTGAAAGCGAAAAAAAACGAGACTTAAATAGTGCAATCACTTTTTTTTTCAAATTAAGATCTTTATTCTTTAACATGAGAACCAGAGATATGATGCAAGCTTATACTTACAAGGGTATACAACTGACAGCGGGCGGATGCGAAATAATGACTGTTAATTTAATTAGCGAGCAAGTGGGCCCAGTTCTTAAGAGCTGGTAATCCAGTTGTTCGCTTTTTTCTAACTCCCCTTCCTAGAGTCCACTGCCTGGTACCTTCGACGAGAGGTTAACAGGTCTAACCGAGGACTCAGGGAAGTTAGAATGGATTAGTTCAAGTCTAGCGATATAATTCATCAATCAAATGGCAATTTCCTATTATATATGAATCTAAGATTGAATGACAGAAAGCATTTTTTGAATGATGGGTTTCAAAGGAGGAAGGTATAGTTACACACCAATTGGCTAATATATTGATTAATTTGGCAACACGATGGGAAACAGAGTTATATTTAAGCTTACTTTTCATTGATGGTAAAATACGAGCACCCTTTACTGATGACCTCGTTGAATAAAAAATAGTTTCACATTTCTGAGACAATTCTTCATTAACTATTTTCTTTAGAATTTCATTTACATGTAACTCGTATACAGTAGCAATTTTGCTTTTGGCCATTATTTCCGTTATCGAGTCACGATAACTTTTGCGAAAAGTTATACGAAAAAATCGTTTTTGTAGTTTATGAATAACATCTAATGCACTTTTGCAAACTGCTCCATAAACAAGAACTCCATATTGAACACAAGGTTGTACATAAGTTTTGTAGTACATGACCATTTAGGAAATGGTCATCACATTACGAAGCCGGTATGCAACTCCGCAGAAGCGGGTTAATTTTTTTCGTATAATCTCAATATGATCTTTGAAGGATTGTTTAAAATTTACTAGCCCTATTTTTGAATATTTCACTATTTTTCGCCTAAAAGATTTTTGGCAATTGTGTTGTCAGATTGCTTGGTTGGTATAGTCAACTTATTTTGTGTCGCTTGGAGAATAAGAATTGATTATTATTGTAAAAATAAATTCAGGTCAATTGTAGTGTAAAAGATCAAAGTTTTGAAGCTTAATCGTTTTAAATTTTGTCTTGACCACCATTTCTGATGGCAGTTTTTTTTGGTTTCGTATCGAGGGGCACATACCCTCGTGTTGCCGTCTTAGTGGCAGCTCAGTAAACACAAAAAGCTTAAATAAATTGAATTTTTCATCTAGTCCAAAAAAGAATTTTAAACGATTTTTTTCGACTTTGTTTTTCCGTCTCTTTTTTTGTCTTTCCTGTTCGCTAGCTGTCTTCGATTCGCCTCTCTGCTAAAGTTTTTTTATTTACACGCCTCCCCCCTTGAAATTTCCAATTTGATCTTAAGTTGCAATATTAAAAAAAAATGAACTCATTTTTGTACCATTTCGAAAACGTCTGAATTTTCCCTTAATGCGTTTAGAACTCAACTCTGAAACGCCAGTTATCCAAACTGAACAAGATGAAAGCTGAGACTAAAGAAAAAGCCAATAGCGTTGCAAGTTCCGAGAACAGCGCGGATGAGCAAAAGATTTCGAGCGGCAATGAAGAAGAGCTGAAAAATGTGAATGAGTTACTCCAAGCTAGTCAGGTGGGGCGTTTTACCATTTCATTGCATAAACGTTTTTTTTGGCAAGTAAAGCACTCAATAAAGGATGGTTACAGTCATAAAATACTAGATTGTGGAATCTAAAAAGAGCTATGTAATGAAAAAGCGTTTAGAGTAATCCCCGTTTTTGCGAGTCTTTGTATAAAGATTGGATTATTGCGTGTGGAATTGTGGAAAATAAACCAGGAATAGAGCTGGAGTTGAATTGTAAGTGATTTTTCTTTCTTTGATCATCAACTGTGGCTGTGTGTGATTCAGGAGGAACTGGAGACGAAGATGAAAGCGATGCAAAGTGAACATGAGAACCAATGTCGAGGTCAGTAAATTATTTAAACATCACTTTAGTTGTGATACTGATAAGATAAAGGTAAACCATCTGGATCTGAGGAGTGAAAGTTAAGGAGTGATTCATGTTTGAATAATTTAGAAGCTTTTATTTTAAGTAGAGTTTAGGTAATGGCTGCAGATTTTGGTGGTGAAGAGGTTGAAAAATGTTCGAATTTTTGTCGAAATCATGTTTTTGAGGCCGCTGCTGCATGTAGGGTTGTTTCCCTTGAAAATAGAGGAATTATAAGCATCGAAAGAGACCCTTAAAAATCGCCTAGAAACACGTTTTTTTCTATTTTCATGTTTCTATAATGATTAAGTAACAATGAGTGAAGTCTTTTCTATGTCTTGTTTCGTTTTTTTAAATGCTTGCGTCTGCTCAGATTTGTATGATAAATTGGTTGAAGCGGAACAGAGTGTGGAGAAGTTATCTTCAGTGCTGACCACTCGGCAGAAGGAGCTCAACCAACTCAGCTCCGAGAACTCAAAGTAAGTCCCGTAATTCGCAAGATATGTTCATTAGTTGAATAGTTCTTAAAGGGCATAGTTCATTTTTATTTTGTTCTTAGAAGACGCTTTGGCTATAGGTAAAAGTATTCATTTTAATGTACAATAGTAACTAAATTAGTAAATGTAATCTCATTAATGAGTTATTCCATGTTGCAATTGACTATTCAAAATTAACCATATGCTGATTCGAAATCTTCAATTGTGTTTAAAAAAAAAGTTCTATCTGTCTAAATTACTTTTGACCTTTCGATGGTTTTCGGGCACGCCTGGGCTTAAGACGCTCGTACGGAGGTACTGGGAATTTTAGCAATATTTTAGCTCAATTGTTCGATTATTTGAATTTGTTTCAGATACAGAGAGCGAGTTGAAGCCTTAGAGCAGCAAATGAAGTCTACGAGTAACACCATAGACAGTGTACTGCAACAGCAGTCGTCCCCTGGCTCTTCCTCCTCTGAAGATAGGGACCACAGGGGTTATACCACTGGATGTGGGAAGACATCAGTGACTAGAAGCAAGCATGCTGGTGTTCAAGTGAATAAATCTAACGTCAGGGATCAATATGAGATTTCAAGTCAGACACATTCAGAGGTTAGACTGAAGTGGAAATTTCAAAATCTGTTTCGCCGAGTGGATAGGACGAGAGATCCTCATGATCTAGGTCGCTGGTTCGAATCCATCGCGTAGTAAAAGTTATACTAATTTGAGGCTTATTTCTACTTTTTGTTCCGACTTTCGATACGAAAGTAATGGAATATTTGTGCTCGGGGTGGGTTTTTTTTCTTCAGACAAATTTCGAGTTTTTAACTAGCCATTTTTGACGGAATTTTTTTTATATCATTCAAAAGGTATTGTTGTCCTGAGCTTAAATTTGAAAAGATATTTTACCTGTGATCATTTTTCGTAAAGTTATGGGGGTTTAAAGATTGCCATTTTGGCCAATTTGGGACAATTAACGCGCGATATAATTCGCGCTATTAACGCGTAAGCGGAGATTTAATCCGTCTTAGAAACCATTCCAAATTGGTTGAAAGAAAGCTTATTTGCCATAATTGATTTGTTACAAGGAGCGAAACTTATCCTTCTGTGTTTTATATGACGTGTGGGGGATGATTTTCATAAAAAATCAAATTTTAGATTTTTTTTTTCATTTTATTTTATTACATTTAATTTTTTAATGTTATTACTGCTCCATAAACCTTAAAAGGCAGTCGGAACATTCAGGGCTTTGCCCTGATACGAGCAGTCTTGTTCCTATTTAACCTTATAGAGCTGCTTTTTATCGTTTTATTTCTAGTTTTTGCGAAGAACAGCTTAGCTTCTGTGTTTGAATTCTGCTGTTTTCCATACAACTCTTTTTTTTCCCTACTTTTTCGGTGGCGTTTTGCTTCAATGCATAACATCGCCAATTTGAAGCGCATCTTTCTTAAAAGCTTTGTTGATTGGTTTTTAAGAGTCGATGAACTTAAGGTTTAAGGTAGCGATGATTTTTTTTCAGGAAGTCTTAGTTTTTCAGGCTCAAATTTACTTTTTCGCAGTTTGACTTTTGATCCAGTTTTCTGAAAATTGGTTAATTTTATGTTTATGAAAAAAGTGTTAATCTTAAATTGTTCTAGAAATTCAAAGAGCCTTCAGGGCGAAAGTTGAGATTTGAAAAAATGTAAATCAGTCTTTCTGTTTACTTGCGCTCATTGACTCTTTTTTCAACTGTCTGTGGGTTTTGTTAGTTAATTTTTAGTGCTAGTTATTTGGTAGGCGAGGCCTTCTTTTAAACAGTCGATGAACGTAGTTCAGACTCTTATATAGGTCGCGATGATTGTTTTGTTCGTTTTTTTTTTCAGAAAATTTTTTAAGGCTCAAATGTGTTTTTTCGCGGTTTGACTTTTGATTCCTTAAGTTCAATTTATTTCTTTTGTGAAAAGGTAGGCAAACTCCACTATCGAACAGCGAAAATGTAAAGGTGACGAAAAACTTGATTGACTCCTAATTTCGAAAATGGATTTTAATAATCAGATTTCCCAACGAACTGAAAATTTAGATTTTACTCCAGTGTTCTCAAGTTAGGTTAATTTTAGCAAAAAATTTCAATCATAAATTGTTCTAGAAATTCGAAGAGCCTTAAGGTCGTTTTTTGTTCGAAATTTGAAAGTTGAGGTTTTTCAAAAAATGAGTCAGTTTTTTTCCAATTTCCTTGCGTGCATTTTATCTCTTCCAACTTTCTGTTGGCTATGTTAAGAGTTTTAAGTCAAGAAGAATCGTATCTGCTATAATGTGAGCTAGCTTACCAATTTTAATTTGCAGCTGAGTAAATACTTTAATTTACTTTTATTACTCTTAGATTACTCTCATATACTTTTATTATTACTCTTATATACTTTTATTATTACTCTTATTACTTTTAATTTAGCAGCTGAGTAAATACTTCTAGATAAATGTCAACTATCGTTCGGCTTCTAGTTAGTTCGCGCTCTTAAGTGAGTTGGGTTAACCTGAAGTTTCGGAAGGCGTCAAAAAATTCCTTCGTCAATTGCCTGTGCAGATATGTTGTCTGTATCTAAGTTTTTTCATTCTGAAGAATGGGATGTTATACCAGTTCGAAATAATTTTTATTAGTTATTGACTCGTCTTGTCAGTGAAGCAGTTTTGCAATAGCTGCTATCTGTTTTATTATACCTCCTTCAAAATTAAGACTAATTAGCTACTGAAAAAGGCATTTTTTCTCATCGTTTTTGTTTTTATTTCGTTGACTCTTTTATTCTTGCCCATCAAGTCCCTTGTTTCTTCAGAGGACGAAATTGTTAGAGTATTGGTTAGAAAGATCTAAAACACCTGATTTAATAGACACAACGTCAGATGGGAGTTCGATGGCCGGATTTTTTACAAAGAGGTTTAAAGATCATAATATTAACGGATTGTTGCACGGTGCAGAGACTTTTTCAATCAGAAACAATTGACATAGGTTTTCGGTTTCAGGGCAAAGATGTGGTTACTCAAACGGATATGCGTCATCAGAGAAAAAGCAGCAGAGAAGCAGCGAATGAGGATCAGTTTGACGAAAATGACTCAGACGAACCAGTTATCAAACAGCTGGATAATTACAGAGTAAGTATATTTGAAGTGACTGTTGTAACTGTGATGAGATTCAAAATGCAACTTGCAAATACTAACTGCTTGTTCAATTAGCTAAAAATGTTTGTTTTTTAGTTGCAACTTCTGTCGGCTGAAGCGGATTATAAACTATTGAATGACAAGTTCATAGCTATGAAAAGCGTCCTCTCCCTCCAGGCCGAAAAAATCCGAGCACAGCGTCAGCTACTGAAGTCAACTGTGGCATCGCAACCTTCTCAAGAACCAACTGGTGTTGATGAAGGAGGAAATGTGTCTCAGAGAAGCAAGCAGTCATCTTCAAAAAACCCACACAGGATGGACTCGTTCGAACTTGGGCACGAGAAAAAGCAACCAGTTCCTAGAAGTAGCGTGTCTCCCCCAAGGATGAAAGAGAAGAAAGGGGCGGCGATGGATAATAGGACGCTGGAACAGAAAGATAACTTGAGGGTAACTGGAACGTCGTCCAGTGCAATTGGGAGAAATCCATTGGCCAAGTCAAACAATTCAGGTTGACAGTTCTCTTACGTTAATTTAATGCAAAAAAATGAACAATTGAATTGCTTTGCTATATTGTAAATATGTGCACGTTAGCGCCAACACGCTCCAATGAGTTGTTAGAGTTGGATATTTTTTTGGAAAAAACTTGGCTACAAGAGTTGAAGTTGAGGCCGACTTTATCATGCTACCTTGAAATATCACCGTTTATGTCACTTGTTTTACTGATAAGTTATTGAAAGTTCGTGTTGTGTTTCAGAACACGACACTAGCAGACATAGTTTGTCCCGAGAGGGAACTAGACAGGATCTACTGCATCATCAGCAGGGACAGGGGGGACCACAGAGCAAGAGTAGCTCATTGCTGGAGCTCAGATCCAATGTACCTCTCATATCAACTTCCAAACAGTACGTGCCTTTTAGATTAACGAGGTGCTTGTATTTTTATAATTGATTCAAATTTTGGTAGTGCAATGCTCAAAAACGAAACGGCCAGCGCTCGGTTTTGCTCGTTTGTTGGTCCGTTTGGAAGGTTTTCTTACGCTATCGTATAAGCAAAATAATCTTCTTAAAAGTTGTTCCTAAATTATTTGGGATGCGAAGTTGTGGGTGAGCTAAGTAGAATCTGACAGTAATCTAATCTGTTTAGAGCCTCAGGAACCAATGCTAGCAACCCTTCAGAGGAGAGCGAGGAAAGCGACGAGAGGTGGGATGGGGAAGGCACTCAGCCATTTGAGGTGCACGAGGAGTCGGAAAGTGACCAGCAGGCAAGTGGTGCCGAGGATGTACCCCCGAGGAGTCCAAAATACGATACGGATAACATGCATATGCCTAATGTAAGTCACTAATCGCTCCTTTTCAGTAGGTATTGCGATAGGATTGTCAAATCAAGGGAATTTTTTAATTGAAAAATTGGGATCGGTACAAAAAGTATGACCGAGGTGTGTCATTTCGACTAGTTTAGGAATGTTTAGAGTCATGAGCGTAGTGAATACTCGTATTTAGGTCCTTGCAATTGAGTACTAGACTTTTCCGTAAACAACTTAGTCCACAGTGACAAGGCCTTCGGTTGAGTGGGGTAGTAGGGTAACACACAGGGGGGTGGTTTTCCTGGTCTTCTTCCTTAGAAGGGGTGAGGTTACCTCTGTGCCTCACTCTGGGGGTGCGGTCTAACTCCTTCCTCTTTTTTTTCATTTTCTTAGTTTAATAAAGTTTCAGCCTATTTACATTTCCGAAGCTAGTGTGTTAGTACGAACCTTCTTTTTTTCCAACCTAAGATGCAAATATTGGTGCGGCCTCCCAATAGTGATGTGGCACCTTTACAGCTTTTTGATAGCATGTACTTTGACATTCGAATAGTAATAAATTAACACAGTTGAACCAAAAAATGACCGAAATGAACCGAAAACAAAAGCTATTTGTTTCAAACAAGATCACAATTATAAAATTTAAATTTCAGAAATTATCTAACTCAATATACCTCGCAATTTTTTGAAATGCATAATTTATACATGATTTGGCTTTATGCTTTGCAATTTGTTACCTGCAAAGTTAGTGTGGATGCCTTCAGTTTGTTTTATTCCAAACTATTAAGAGCAAAATTGAGTCTATTTTTATTTGGTGCTGAATTGCATTGGCAATTTGTTGGCATATGTAGCTGTTTTATTCGTGACTAGTGTTTGTCGGATGTAAAGCTTGAGGGTATAGTGCGTGAGACTCAAAATCTCTTGATTGCAGTAAGTCGCAGATTCGAATCCTACTAGCAGCCGAGTTTTTGCTAATTTGAGGCCTATTTCTACGTTTTCTTATTTAACTTGTAGAGCTCCTTTTGTCGTGATCTGTGTTTTTATCGGCCTATTGGCTTCATATTTTGTCGTTTATATCGGCTTATTGGTCTCATATTGTGTCATTTGATGAGCGAAAAAAGTTTGTGTGCTTGTTTGTATGGAGGGGAATGGGGGACAAAAAACTTGTTTTTAGTTTAAAGTCTTTTTTAATCGTTTCAGCTGAAAGAGTTTCCTCAGGTATTTTAGGCTTGTTTACAGCTTGGTAACTTTTCTCCCGACTCTATTTTTACTTTCTATTTTCTTGGTGTGAGTTTTTGATACTTATGTATTCGTTTTGACAAATTCAGCATATCCAATTTTTTTGATGTAGTGGCTGTTTTGTATTGTATCTCAAGTGGTGCGAAGCTCGGCTTCGCCTCTGTGTATTGATTTTTTTTTGTTTTTTTTTTCAGGAAAAAACTTTAAATTTGTTTACGTTCAAATTTGATTTTCCGTGGTTCGACTTATGGTTTCTTTTTAGTTGAGCACATTTCCTTTGTTAACGAACAGCAAAAGTGCAAAGGTCACAAAAAAGTGATCGACATCTATTTCGAAAGTAGATTTTAAAATCTAGATTTCTTATTGGAATTAAAAATTGACCTATTGATCTTTTTTTTAAATTGGTTTAATTTTATCAAAAAAAGTGTCTATCATAAATTGTTCTTAAACTTCAAAGAGCCTTAAGGCCATTCATTTTTTTCTTTCTTGAAATTCGAAAGTTAAATATAATTTTTTTTCACTAAGCGAGTCAGTTTTTTTTCTGTTTCCTTGCGTTCATGACGGTCTGTTGGCTTTGTTATTTTTCATGGAATGATAGTTTTTAATACGAAAAAAAAAATGACTGCAAAACATACTGAAATAGGTAGTATCACTCTTCAATAGGAATGGTTTCTTTCTTCGGTGTTGCCTAAAAATGAAACCTTCATTAGATTGGAGATCTGATGTTTGAAGTGCAGCGACTGTCCAAGCTGATGAAGAGCCACGACTCCAACACAGTCAAGATGCTGAAGCAAATCAGTTCCAAAAAGGGCCACGAAGGAACTCAGAGTATGACCAGAGATGATAAAAGATCTGGGTCCAATCTCCTGGTCAATACTTCCACGATAGGTGTAGACCAACATACGCCACCTACGAAAGACACGGATTTCACGCTCAATTGGAATAAAGAAAGTGAGTTTTCCCCGAATGCTTACTCTGAATATTTCATCTAGAAATCACAATATAAGTGGATGGGAGTTTTGTAATGCGTCGATTTCAGTGTGCGATTTTAAGACTGGTCAAAGAAATATTTTTAAATGGGAAGCTGATTAATGCTTAAATATTAGAAAGCAATTGTTATAGAGTCAATTTGAATCCTAGGTGATGGCAAGGACGCCATGCGTGAACTAATGCGTCTCAGCCTGACTTCCGGAGTGCTCTCAACGCACCAGTATCTCATCGCCCGCATCCAGACCCAGTTCTCACGGGACACTAACGTGATTGACAGTCTGAAGACGGATCTGAAGAAACAAGTGGACGAGACTGAAGAACTGAAACACTGTCTCAGTCATCTCACTCTGGCATCTAAGCGACTAGAGGTAAAGTGCAATCGCTTACGCGTATTGACTAATCGCTCATTGCAGACGTTCGGAATGAAAGATGAGAATAATAGCGGCATCTTTTATTTTGTCGTTCTGCTAATATGCGTATTCTGAATTTAATTCAGTTTGACATTTTGCATGCTAAAGGAAATGGGTTTTGTTTGACAGCTGTTTTACAAAACTCATATCCGTGCCAATTTAGCCAAAGAATTAAATTGAAAGTTAATATACATATTTCTGCAATGATCGTTCTTGGTTAGATTAACTTAAACGTGAACGAAATTTCCCCTCATCAGGTAGTTGTTTTATTTAATGCAGCCAGAGTAATAGTATCTCTCAAAAAAGAATATGAAAGTAAAGTCTGGCCAATATTTCAGGAGTGCCTAGAACAGTCGCTTCAAATAGTTCAATGTATAGTGTCTGATTCGCAACCAGAGAGGCCTCCGGACACCAAATACTCGGAATTGAAGAAATCTCTGGCTCATCTGAACAACCAAAAAAGCATTCTTACCAGTTTCCACAGCAATCCTAGTGAGTAACAACATCAGTGATTTTAATGACTTTTGGCAAGTACAAGGTTGTTAGGTCGTGATAGAAGCATTTTGAGCTATGAGATTGATTAAACAGGTAGTGGTGTTTCCATCGGTAAGATTTTTGTTAATAATATAGTTGACTCCATTGGCAAACACAAACAGCATCAACTTATTAGCTCGAGTTTCCGGTCATTCCAATAGGGTTAGCGATGTTTAACGGGTTAGCAGCGATGTTCAATGATTTTTTTTGCCTAGTTGAACCTTGATTAAGTCAAAAACCAAGAGTTCGAAATGAAATAAACAACCAGTTCATGCATAGTATTTTTGACACCCAAACGACGTGGGTTGTCAAAACGTAGCAATGAAGATTCGCTGTTGTTGGAGCGTGTCAAAGAAGGTCAAAAAACAATGAATACCAGGCCACTAATTTGTTTCAAGAGAATTATTGCAAATTCACACGATGCGAAGAGAAAAAGTTATTGAGTCGTGGAAATATTACGTCCAAGTGAGAATAAATGTGTTTTTGAGAGCGTTGTGATTCCTCTTATACAGGTCTTGGTGATTTTCATATTTGCAATCAGCTTAGTGTATTATTACGAACATTATTTTTTGTGAGCGCAAGTACAAGTGTTCTTAAGAAGTGTTCACTTATTTGGAAATTTCACTGTAGCATTGGAAATCGCATAGCATCTGTTCGCTGCTTTATTTGTGACTAGTGTTTGGTGGTTATTAAGCTTCCGCTGCTGAGTGGTTAGTGTGGGAGGCTCAAATCTTTAGGTCGCAGGTTTGAATCTCAAAGGTTGCCGAAATTTAACTTATTCGAGGCTCTTTTCTAATTTTTATCATTGCTCTTTTCAGAGCTGATTTTTGTCATGTTCTAGCAAGTGTTTGTGAAGCGAAACTTCGCCTCGGTGTTTGATTTTTTAAAGGAGGCTGTCTTAACATTTTTTCTCGCTAATATTCGATTTTCGGCTATTTGACTTTTGAATTCTTTTTAAGCTGACTTCATTTCCTTTGTAGAAAGGAAGGCAAATACCACTATCGAACAACGAAATCGTAAAAGTCACGAAAAACGTGATCGAATTTTTTTTCAAAAGTGGATTTAAATTTTCAGATGTCCTTGCAGAGTATAAGTTTTACCTATTGATCCAGTTTTTTCAATCTGAGTGAATTTTTTCAATCTGAGTCAATCAGAAATTTTTGAAATTAAAATGATTCAAGACCGTAGAATTTTTTCTTCGAGATTCGAAAGTTGTGGAGTTTTTTCATTAAACAAGTCGATGTTTTTTTTTCTGTTTCTTTGCGTTCATGACTCTTCAAATAGAATAGAAATCATTGTTCTTCAGTGGATTTGCTTTTATTTCATTTTCATGTTTTTGATATTAAAAGTGCAGCAACAAATAAGAAAAAATTAAATTTGACCAAAATCAGACAAAACCTATTTTAATTAGAATCAAAGAAGGATTGGCTGAATAGTATCATAAATAAGTTTGATCAAATTTATTTTTTTGTCTTTTGTTGCTGCAGTTTCAATATCAAAAAATTGAAAAACCATTTGATAAAAAAAGAGCCAATCCACTACAATGATTTCTAATCTATCTGAAGAAATTGATTTTCGATTTATGTAACTCGCCTTCAGGTTTGATTTCTCGGACATTTTCTTCTTTATGAGTTTCTGTTAGTATTCTGTTTTCTTGTTTGGAATTTCTTGATTGCATGATTTTATTACCGAACTGTTCTTGAAAGCTTCAAAACTAGTTGTGATGAATGTTAGCCAACCCTTCTTTGTTGCCAATGAAAACTATTCTCTAAGTTCGAATAAGTTATCCTTTCTTACGTTTTGCTGAAACTAATGATACACTTGACAGTTATGTTTGAAAACAGTCTTATTGGCCCCAATGATTTAGGAGACTATATACTGAACAATGTTTTGCGTTTTGTCTTATAACGCTTTCGATTTTGTGCGACAATAATTCCATTGTTCATTTTTCTAATATACATCGGGATGCTGTTTTCGCGGTTGCATGATTTCTCTTATGAACAGATCTTAAACCTAAAACATAGAAGACTTTTTAGTGATGATGACATTTCAGCCAATCCTTCTTTGATTCTAATGACAATAGATTATATCTGAATTTGATGAAATTTACCTTTTGTAATTTTTTGCTGCACTTTTAATTTCAAAAATTGAAAAACGTATCTGATGAAATAAGAGCCAATCCACTGAACTATGATTTTTTTATCTATCTGAAGAAAATGGCTTTCAATTTGTGTAAAAAGCCATCAGGGTTTGATTTTCGCTTTTTTTGTTACAAGTTCGACATGAAGGCCATTTCCTAATATACGATTCTAAGTTGGTATTCTTTTTTCTGGCTCGAAATTTTCTGATTGCATGATTTTAATTACTGAACTCTTCTTGAAAGCTTCAAATTTAGTTTTGACGATGATAAGCCAATCTTTCTTTGATTCCATGAAAACTACTTTTCTTTGACTTTGAATTAATGATCTTTTCTTATGTTTCGCTGAACTGATGATACTCTTGACTGTTATGCTCGAACACAGTATTATTGGAGGTAATCGTTTAGGACACTAAATACTGAACAATGTTTTCTGTTTTGTCTAATGAAGCTTCGTTATTTTCGATTTTCTGCGACAGTAATTCCATTGTTCATCTACCTAATTTTCTTTGGATGCTCTTTTTTGTCTTGATTTTGTTTGTTGCTTTATATGCGAGGTTGCACGATTTCTCTCTCTAACTAATTTCAAACCTTGATTCAATGAATTACTGGTTTTTTCTGAAAATCGAAGTTAGTTTTTAATGATGATGATTTTTCATCCAATTCTTCTTGATTCTAATGAAAATAGATATCTGAGTTTGATCAAATTTACTTTTTTGTGTTTGTTAAGAAAAAAATTGAGAAACGTTTTTTTTTTGCTGAAAAAGCCAATCCACTGAACCTTGATTTCTAATCTACCTGACGAAAATTCTTCTCCATTTATGTAAATCTTTAAGGTTTGATTTTCGCTTTTTTATAAGTTCGACATGGAGACCATTTTCTTATGTTTGACTGTGTTGGTATTCTTTTGTTGTCCGGAATTTCTTGAATGCGCGATTTTATTACCGACCTGTTCTTGAATGCAAGAAAACTGGTTGTGATGATTGTTAGCAAATTCCTCTTTGATTTTCATGAAAGTAATTTTTCTCTGAGTTTGAATAAATTATTTTTTCTTGTTTCGCTAAAAGTAATGATGCTCTGACTTTTATTTTTGAAAAAAATTTTATTGGACCATTAATAAAACTTAACGAGGCATTTTTTTGTTACAAGTTTGACATGAAGTCCATTCTCTTGTGTATGACGTTATGTTGGTATTCTGTTTTCTTGTTCGAAATTTTCGGATTGCATGATTTCAATCACTGAATTCTTCTTGAAAGCTTCAAAACTAGTTGTGATGATGATAAGACAATCCTTCGTTGATTCCATGAAAACTTTTTTTCTACTGAGTTCGAATAAATCATCTTTTCTGATGTTTCGCTGAACTAATGATACTCATGAATATTATGCTCGAAAACAGTATTATTGGAACTAATGATTTAGGAGACTTAATGCTCAACAATTTTTTCCGTTTTGTCCATGAACTCCTCCTTATTTTCAGTTTTATGCGACATTAATTCCATTGTTCATATGTTGAATTCATCTCTTTGGATGCTGTTTTCCGTCTGGCTTTTGTTTCTTGCATTGTATTTACGGTGGTACGATTTCTCTGCTGAACACATCTTAAACCTTGATTCATTGTGTTACTGTTTTTTTTCTGAAGCTTGTAAAAAAAAGTTTTTAGTGATGATTTTTCAGCCAATCCTTCTTTGATTCTAATGAAAATAGATTTTATCTGAGCTTGATCAATTTACTTTTTTATAATTATTTGCTGCACGTTTATTTTCAAAAAATTGAAAAACGTTTCTGATGAAATAAGAGCCAATCCGCTGAACAATGATTTCTAATCTAACTGAAGAAAATGAATTCCGATTTATGTAAATTGTCCTCAAGGTTTGGTTTTTTGCTTTTTTTTTTGTTAAAAGATCGACATCAAGGCCATTTTGCTATATGTGATTTTTTGTTGTTATTCTGTTTTCTTGTTCGGAATTTTCTGATTGCATGATTTTAACTAGTGAACTATTCTTGAAAGCTTTGAAACTAGTTTTGATGAATATAAGCCAATCCTTCTCTGATTTCAATGAAATTTGTTTTCCTCCGATTTTGATTAAATTATTATTTTTTAAGTTTTCGCTGAATTAATGATAATCTTGAATGTTTGGTTTGAAAAGAGTATTATTGGAACTAATGATTTCGAGGACTATATACTAAACATAGTTTTTCGTTTTCTATAAGAATGTTTTGTGTTTTTCCGATTTTGTGGACCCTAATTCCATTGTTCGTATTTTGTGGTCCCTAATTCCATTGTTCGTTTTTCCAATTTATCCCTCTGGATGCTGATTTCCGTCTGGATTTTGTTTCTTGCACTTTGTTTGCGGTTGCACGATTTCGATTGAACACATTTTAAATCTTGATTTATCGTGTTACTGGTTTTTTGTTCTGAAGCTTGTAATAAAACGTTTTTAGTGATGATTTTCAGCCAATCCTTTTATCTGAACTTGATCAATTTACTTTTTTATAATTATTTGCTGCACGTTTATTTTCAAAAATTTGAAAAACGTTTCTGATGAAATAAGAGCCAATCCACTAAACAATGATTTCTAATCTATCTGAAGAAAATTACTTCCGATTTATGTAAATTGTCCTCAAGGTTTGGTTTTTGCTTTTTTTAGTTAAAAGATCGACATCAAGGCCATTTTGCTATATGTGATTTTTTGTTGGTATTCTGTTTTCTTGTTCGGAAATTTCTGATTGCATGATTTCAATTAGTGAACTATTCTTGAAAGCTTTAAAACTAATTGTGATGAATATGAGCCAATCCTTCTTTGAATCCAATGAAAACTGTTTTTCTCCAATTTTGATTAAATTATTTTTTTTATGTTTCGCTAAACTAATGATACTCTTGAATGTTTTGTTTGAAAAGAGTTTTATTGGAACTAAATATTTAGAGGACTATATA